TGTAATTTTTTAATACTGTATATTATAATTTAACGCCTTAAATACATCTTAACACTTTATTATTGAAATTTTCAGCTCTTTTCAATTTTGTTTTCATTCTTAAACGCACTTTTTTTCCACATAAAAATTGGTTTTATCTCTGATATTCGTTATTAGCTAAAATTCTTCAATTATCAGCACTATTAAGTTTAGCATTCGCAGTTTAGTAGTTTAAGGGAAAGAAAATGTTTGAACATGATAAGGATTACAAAGATTATCGAGTAAATGTGCATACAGATAAAAATTATGATAAACAGAGGGGGGGACATTCGAGGTTGCCATGAATCACTCAAATACTTGAATGTCAATGAATTTAAATAAAATTAACTTTCTAAATCTCCATTTTAATAGTATTACAAAGCTCTGTAGACAAATATTAATTAAAAAAAACAGTTTCATAAATAATATTTGAAAAGGCGATATTACTATCGATGTATCGTTAACCCTAAGAATAATAGATAGTGATTACCCTCCCCATTAACACAAATTGATTTCAAATTTTATAAACTTATAGGGATAATTTTACTAATACATTTTCTTACTTCTGAATGATGTGAAAGATATAGTGATAATGTAACAATGTAAAAGTGAAATGTTTGATAATGTATAACTGTTCCAAAACGTCAAATAAGAAAATAAATTGATAGGAATAAGGCGTGTTATTAAAAACATTCCTAATTAAACATGAAATATAAGAAATATTAGAAGCTTTTGTTATAAAGAAGAATACAATCTCAAATTATATTCTTAGAAGTGGACTACCTCGCTAGACTAAGGCTCAGAAATACGTAAGTATATTATAACATCCAAAAGATATTATTATTTAAATGTTAAGGTATATTCAATGATAATCAAATAATAATACAGAGCAACAAACAACTTTAAAAAAATTCTTGTATATTTTTATTGTTCATCTAATTCTGTGATTTAATATAATTAATATTTTAATTGAAATTTGTTTTCATTTAAGAATATAACCAGTTTTATTTTACTTTAATGTTTATATTACTTATGGAGATATTCTTACACTCTACTTAACATACACAATTAAACGAAAAACTCTATAAAAATAATGATTGTTTTTATATTCATACGTAAAATATTCAATTTTACCTTCTTTTTTTTTTTAAAAGACGACAAATATATATATTTTTTTAAATATTACGTATTTAATGTAGTTAAACTCTTGAGAAGTTACAGCAATGTTTTGATTTCTAAATCAAAAAGCCAGAAGTAATAATAAATTTCACTTGTTTTTACAATTTTTTCGAAAACAGCTTCAACGATTTTGATTAAACTCTTAGTATCAATGTATATAAACCTGTAATATTAGGTTTTTCCTAATTGTAATAATATAATAGAGCTCATTTTCTTATAGGTCTAATTTTCGAAGCCTTTGAACTACGTTTAATTTTGTATACTTGAAATAATCAATTGAATCGTTAGGATTAATAATAAATGAATAAATTTAAATTAGAAAAAGAATTTGTATAATTAAATAATGAAAAAGAAACTTTGATGTTTAGGCCGAAACGTCGGGAAATAATAAAATGAGATTTCTTATTTCATCTACAAATACACCTCACAGTTTCTCTTACTAGTATCTACACCATCTCTAGCTGATCCAGGATTTAATTTTGGGAGGGGGGAGACTTCAGCCCGAAAGCTTTTTTTTCATAAAAATAACGATAATTGCTTTAGAAAAAAAGAAAGAAACTAACAAATTGTATGAAATGGTGTTTAAGTGATTCCTAAAGCCCTTTTAATATTAATCACACGAAAAATAATACTTTAAGAGATATTTTTTTTATATTTTTATCGATAAAACGTGGTTATATTTTACCATTTTGGGGGGGCTTCAGCCAGAAAGCCTCCCCCCCTCCTCCGTAGATCCACCCATGTTCCCCATAATAGGTTTACACTCTATTCGAATCAAGTATACAAATTATGTGAATTTATTAATTACTTCCTTAAATTATACCTTAAAGTGATCAGCAACTTTTCTTCATTCAAAATCTGCCTAGTATGATATATTTTTTCAGTATTAATGAAATTCGTGTTTTATCCAAGTCAGAAAAAGTACTCTAAAGTCGATACTCCTTTCCTAACGTAGTTAAAGAAGTGTAAACTAAAAATAAATGGCGATAATTCTCTTAATTGTTAGCACTGCTAATTCACGTGATGAGTATAATGAGAAGACGTGTTTAAGATCCACCACAAAACAGCCGTAAATTTTGAATTGTGGGAACTCTAAAATGAAATGTGATATTTTACGAAAATCACAATTTAGTTTAGTTTGGCTGCTTTTCTATTTACTACTTTAGCCTATAAGAACCTCGTAACTCGATGAACTAGGAGTACACTGTAATTTATTAGATAATAGATAGACATTGATAAGGTAAAAAAAAAATACAGTATCTTAACTTTATTTATTATCCGATAAAGCGAAGCGAAACGAGGGTTGTGTGTTTGGGTCATCCGCTAAAAGCTTGGTAACGCTTTTTTGAACGAACTGCTGTACCGTTTTTCAGTTTGATGACTCAAATTATTTGGTGAGATTTCTTGAGTATTTTTTTTTTGTGTGGGGACATTAATTTTATTGTAATAAATAGTTACAAGGAACACAGCGATATGCAATTTGCACACACAACGGTGCACTGTATATGAAGTTATATAAGCTTATCATAATTTGTTTTCCCATCTGGAAGCATTAGTAGTGGGTGGAATTAAATGAAATCTATTTGGTACCATTAGTGATACCCCGTATGGAAAAAGTGCCTGGAAGGGGGAAAAAAGTATCATTAATGTACAAACATAATTCCTTCAAAATCGTTCTAACAATAGTAACTGATATATTGACCAGATTAGTTTTGACAACAGACGCACGGAACAAAATATGTTCATTGAAGTCCACAAATATAAAATTCGGGTCACTTTTCCTCATTAAGTCGTAAGCAGAGAACACGCCATACATATTTGAAAATAATAACCATTGTATAATGATATCCAATCTTATGTATTATTTCTAAAAGGTGGTGTTTTTATGAGAAGGAATTAGTCGAGGGTGCGGTCAAAAAAAAAGTAAAATATATAAATAATTTTAATTTTTGCCGACGTTTCGACCCACTTTGCAGGTCGTCTTCAGGGCGTTGGATGTGGCCCCGTGTTTCAACCGTGTGTGTGGATATCCAATTTATATGTGGATGTGGGCAGTGTTTCAACCGCCTCCCGCAGTGCCACATCCAACGCCCTGAAGACGACCTGCAAAGTGGGTCGAAACGTCGGCAAAAATTAAAATTATTTATATATTTTAATTTTTTTTTTTTTTTGACCGCACCCTCGACTAATTCCTTCTCATATCATATCAACGGTCAACCATCTCTACATCATTGTGGTGTTTTTATGTTGATACGCCATAACTTCGTCAATTCTTCATCAAATCCAATGATTAACCATTCATTTTGAAGATATTCTTCTCCTCCACATGCGAAAAATAGTTCTAACCCTCCCAAATTTCTGGAAAAAAAGTTATGAAGGAAAAGAAACTTTACTTGTGAATAACTCAAAAAGTATGCATTTTTTTTTATTGTACCCACGATCATTAGAAAGATTACAAAATTACTTTTAAAAAAAACCTCCATAAAAATCGAACAATTATTTACAAATATACTATTAATTTTGGTATACTTAATAATTTCTTCCTCTTTAAAGATACTGCGTTTACTATTGTACACTTTTTTTCCTGGCTAATATCTTAACTTTACTATGTCTTAAAGGCATCTGTTTGTTCATAAATTTTATATATTTTAATAATTTAGAAAAATCCATGATCGAGCCAGCGTTTAAAAATAGGCCTTAGCAAAGCAATTTGTACAAATATTTTGTTCTATTATGTTAAATGGAATATTGTAATTGACCAAGGAAAAACAATTAATTCCTCCCTCACATAATACATAAGATCTACTTATTTCCAAATTGTTTTGTGATTCCTTCACTAAACAAAATTGTCTCCAAATTATTTGCATAGTGTTTCAAAATGTTAATCAATTTCTTCAGGTGAGCATTAGGAGGTGCCACTTTATATCATCAATTTTTACAAGTTAAATTCATTATATTGGTGTAAAATTAAGGGGTTTTAAAGTTTTCAATTTATAACATAATTCTAAACATTTCAGTCTAAAATATTAAGTTGTAGAAGATTTTAGAGTGATGAAAAACTTAAAATTAATTAACATTGGCGTAATAAAATAGTTTCCACAATTTAAATAATTCTTTATGAACATGCCACCCCAGACCATCTCTTTCCTTAAAATTGATTATTTTAAACAAATGTGTTTTATTTTCTATTAAGTTTTCCTTTCACAGTAAATACCTATAAACAGAAATATCTATTTTAAATTTACAAGGCTAAACATTTTTTTCTATTAACCTATTTTTGTCCTTACTTATGTTTCAGTCTTGTAAATTTAAATAGTTAATGTTTCTTTATTTAAGAATATATATGAAGTGCGGCAGGAGTGCCCATTCTCCCCCAAGGTTGATGGGGCAAGAACCTATCCTTACCCCTCCTCTCCCAAGATATTATATTGCTCATCTTTTCATAAAAACAGGACAAAGGAAAGTAAAATTAGAAATATTGTAGATCATATTCAATTACACTGCTATATGTTCCATGTTTTCCCCTCGTCCCTTATTCTGAAAATTTTCATTCGGAAAATTCATAAACATTGTCAAAATGTGCCTCCCTCAAAAATTGTTATGGTGCAATTTGTGCCATAAAGCCCCCTGAAAAGTAGAGCCAGAAAGACTTCGGAAATTAATTTAAGAACCAGGGCTGTAATTAGTTATTTTCAAAATGTTGAAATATTAAGAACTAACATGTCCCTATCATTATTTCTTTCATGAAATCATTTATATTTTTCGCTGTTTATTTTTTTTTTTTTATTCAATCCCACCTTGCATACCCTCTGGTTATGATTATGTGCCTAAGTTGTAGAAATATATAAATATAATGTATTTCTCTCAAAATAGGATGGTAGATAGAAAGTTGTGTGATTTGTGCACCACACCAGATTTATTCTTCTAATAATGTATATGCATATTTCTACAGACGAATTACTTATTCTATGCAAATATATATATTTTTTCCAATATACCCAAATATATAAATCATTTTTTTTATTTAACTATGACAAAGACATTGAAAGTATTAAATCAGATCTGCTATTCACAATATGTACATTCAATCAATAATGTTGTAATCAAGTTCGGAATAAAAACCACAGGGCGGAGCCAGATAATCTAGAAAAAAAAGAAATAAAAAAATGTAAAAATGCAATTTTTTCTACTTACATTTAATAAATTATTAAAAATATAAAAATTATAATAAGAATACTAATAAATTCAGAGGAGTTCAATAGGTTAAAAATCTAAATATTTATATCTTGGAAAATAAAATAGGGAAGTGCATAAATCACACTTTTTTGAGTAAATTTCATGTTTTTACTGAAAAATTGCATATTAATTGTAAGTTTGAAATTGTTAACAAAACAAAATTATAATAGAAAGTTTCAGGAAGTAGGATTTGGCTGTATATAATAATCTAAATAAGTTCATTTTCTCTATGAAATTCTCAGATTGTAAAGTTTGTATTTTCAATCTTTAAATTAGAGGAATGAAAATCTCAAAAACATTATTTTTCTATTTTTAAAACACACTTGATAATAAATTTCAATTCAAGGAATGGTTTAATTAATTAATACATTTAGATGTAATATATTTCTAGTTATAATTAATTCAATATTTTTTGGTTTTCTATTATAGTTATTTAAAATAATACAGAAAAGTAAACAAAAACTTTGTATTTTCAGTAAAAAAGTTTTCTATAAATTATACAAATAAATTCCTTAAGCTGCTAAACTAAAACAAAACAAATAAATGTCTTTGAATTTTTATTTTACTATTTTATGTTTCCACCCTATACCATTTTAGGGTGGAAAAAATTAATATTATTTTTTTCTGCAGAAAAAGTGTAAATGGGAAGATACATTTTTTGTGTGCATGTTTCGGCCTTTTTATTGCACATTTTATAATTTTTTATACAGTATAAAATTCTGGCCTAATTCATTACAAATTATTTTGGAATCAGTAGAGAATACCACATTTCACTATACTAAATATAGTTAAATGGTTTTCACGTAATTATTTGATTTAAACATTTGATACATCTTTTATTAAATGCGCTAAAAGGACAACATGATGGCCTATAAGGAGAGGGCGAGTCCGGAAGTTCTTTGAATCAGTTATTATTTACTTCTCAGCAATCTCGAGAAACGTATCTTGGAATTCCCACTCTGGTTATTACGAGGCGGCAACTTCTGGGCAGCAGCAGGCAGGTGTTGGTAGAAAGGACCACAAGAGCCTTGCTGGAATAATTCCTTTCACCATTATTATACTAAATCCTGCAAATTCATTTTTTTCTTCATCTGCAAAGCTTTTTCTCTTTCCAGGATTAAATGTTTTGATTGTGGAACAACGATTCTTCTTTTAACTATCAAAAAAAAATCACATGGATTGAAGAAGGATATTGGATTCAGTGCTTCTTAAATACATAAATTGATTTAGATAGAATACAGGAAGTTGGATAAATAGAATACATTAAGATATAAAAGTAAAAATAACAAAATAAAAATATGGAAGTTGACCACTCCAGGAGTGGGTTGCACACAGGAAAATAATAAAAAAAAGAACTCATCTGTTCTAATCCAATTTTCATTTGCTTAAATTTTGTTTGCTAATTATAAATACTGGAAGGGTACCCCCGTTCTCCTAACGACCCATTTTACAAATTATACTATCGTTCATTTAATTGTACTACTCGTCGCTCAAATTGTATAACTTTAATTTACATGTATTCTGTAGTCCCAATTGTATTATTTTTTATCAACATAAAATAAACTGAACGAAACTACCATTCAGACGAATTTTTAATTTCTTTAAAAATCTATATAGTACATCATGCATTATTTCCAATTTGTAACCATAATATATATATTTAGTTTGTCCAGCTTCATATAAGCCCAATAATAATTTAAGCCTTTTATTTATAATATATTATTGTACATTATATTGTGCTTCCTTTTCTATTTCATAATAATTAAAATTATATCACAATATACTAATTAATATATTGTATTCAAGGGGAAATGTCTAGATCAAAAAATAACTGCTGTCACGTAGGTAAAATCAAACTACCATCTCCAGATGAAAATAATATTTCCCATACAAATGTTAAGTCTAAAATCTTTAGTTTTTATTAAGAGAGTAGAATATAACAGGAGCTCAACACATATATAATTAAATGAACAACTGAAAAATTTGTAAAATTATTGTCAAAGGAGAGCAACACCATCGAGCCTAGAGGATTGGGATGCTGTTGTGCTCCTGTAATCTCCCACTCTCCTAAAACTAAAATAAAATATGAGTCACTAAAATCTTTTTTATATAATAGAGATAAATAATATTTTATATACGTATTAGCAACTCTGTTATCGAAGTCTTAGTTTAACAAACATTTTCTGGCTTCGTCTTTGCAGAACAAAAGTTGCTCTCCTAAATGTTTCATATCTTCCTATAATGACGGCTGCAGAATTTTTAATATATTGAATTAGTGCATACCGAGTATCAGCTTTTATTTTGTATACTTCATCGTTGAACCAGCCTCACAAACGTTAATCCAGTACAGTGAGATCTTGGAGGCCAACTAATTAGACCAGTGTGACCAATCCAACGATCTGGAAACATTTCATCCAAATGTTGCTTAACTTGATAAGCGAAAACTTCGTCATGCTGAAAGTGCATTTGCTTTCTGATGTTTAGAGAAAAATCCTGTAATAGTCCATATGTAGAAAATTTAAAAAAATGAAAATCGGATTAAAATACTAATTTTTAAAATTATTTTTCTGTGTACCACTCTTGGAGTTTGGACTACCCCGTAAAGGCAGAAATCATAAATATTTATATTATTTTTGTATGTTTATTAGTTTTTTTTTTTATTTATTACATTATTTCTTTCATTTATTCCTCATTACTTTTATTTTAATTTTTCCAAATTTTTAAATTTAAAACAATTTCTATTGTTATAAAATAAGGCACTGTTTATTTTATAATATTAGAAAATTTTCACATTTTCATTTTCATTGTAGTACGATTCCATGGATGATATATTGTCTTCCTTAGCCCAGATTAAGAGCTACAACTTCTACTTGAAAAAATATAAATGTATATTGTAATGCTTTTTGTGAGTGTTTATTAAGAGTTGGTTATTTGTAATGTTTACATTTAATTAATAACCATAGTCTGTGAAATATTTAATTAAAATGCTTTTGGGTGTCATAAGTTATCAATATCATAAATCTTCTTCATTTTATAACAATGTATTGAATTATAAACACTGGGTGCGAGAAATTGGAAGGATAGGGCAAAGAATAGACATGATTGGCATGCTACGTATGCTATATGGATTATAGAATCCAGGAAGCCAAAGCCCACCCCGGTCTGTAGAGCAGTAAAGTAAGTAAATATTGAACTATAAATTGAAATGTTTACATTTCATTTCTTGACATGAACTGAAAAAACAGCCCTAAACTCAATGAATTGATTACCACACCACGATGCCGTGTCAAGAAAGAGAAAAACTAAACGTAAACCTAAAGCATAGAAAATATTCAATGATTTGTTGCAAATTCAAATGTCAAGTCAAGGACAGATTAACAATGAAATGAATGTCTAAACCCATACATACATGTTAAAAAAATAAAAACTTTTCTCACATTGGATTTTCTTTTTCGATCCTCAAATTACCGGCCTAATATTCTTTAAATCAGCTGGCATTTTTAAAGCAGCGGCTCTAGAACAGTAGACAAGATTCTTTTTGTTCAGAATAACATATACTTTCATAATTTACAATCAATCCCTCGTCTGCAATGAGGTCGATTTTTAAGCCCTGGCTCCAGGGCTATATAGAAAAAGAACTACTGGTGATAGTATGGGCATAAAAGCATTTTCGATCCTACTTGTATGGCAGAAAATTCTTAATTCAGACGAATTAACTGGCGCTCGATACAGAGGACTTCAGAAATTCTTCAAGAGTAAGTCCATTTGATTTTTATGTGCGATCTATTTCTCACCATTGAAGAACTTTTGATTTAATACATAACTGAAATTATAAAACTGGATCCAATCACAGACTACAGGACGAGGAAAAATTCTTCATCATCATCAGAAGCAGCTTATAATTCGGACGAGAACCGGGAGAAATCACAAGATCAATATCCTGTGAGTAATCTCTGTACTTCTAATACCAATTTAATTTAAAACTAAACGCTCAATTAATTATAAATATGTCAGTTTCAAAAGTAATCCCTCATGAAATATTGAAATATATCCCTAGGTACGATGGTAACAGTTATAAGTTGCCACAATTTATTACTATCTTTGAAGATTTAACCAAAACTTATTGTGCAGAAAACGTAATTGAAAGAGATCATAATCATTGGCTCATTTTTCCAGCTGCAATAAGTCCCTATTGGGGCACCATTTAAGTGGTCTGAACCACAGAAGTCTTTTTAAAAAAATTTACTAACTGAAAAATATTGCAACAGAAAGAATAACAGCATTATGTCTAACAGTATGAGAGCAATCGGCTCTAGTTGCCAGGGTTTATCTACTGTAAGAATATCTAGTCAGCAAGCGGAATATTTCTGGGTCATAACTTTAGATAATAACAGCAATAATACATATCACACATTCAGAGTCAAAGAGGCACAATTTCTATTTATCTACACACTGGAAGTGGGTAAAAATGATTTGATAAATTAATGTTGAACAACTAAAAGGCAAGCTAATCTAGTTCTACTAGTGCAGGGAAAAGAAAATGCTCTGTAGTTTCCCAAGAAGGAAAATCTCAAAGAGGAGAGGGACAAGGATTTTTGTTTTGAAAAGCAGTAGTGTGGCCGCAATGAAGAGAGGATAGAAGTGATCCTGGCTCCAGTGGGAAAAACCCATTAATAGTATTACCACCTTGGAAGTTGTGGGCAGAAGATTGGAAAGCATTTGAAGACAAAGGAAGAAACAGTATCTATAGAAAAAGGTTAGCTTGCCAATTCATATTTGACTTTATTTTAAAATTAAACAATGTTTAGTATAGTTAATTTTAGTTTCTCTGATTGTCAGTAACCCACACCTGAGATAAATAAATATATTAATTCTCTTATAATTTTGTTTATTATTAAACAACCTCTTATTTATTTAGGAAGTATCCCAATGGTAAGAAGTGAGCTTCCGATGTTATTTTATTATTATTTATCAAATATAAGAGGGATGTTACAATATAGCTAGATCTTCCTCTATGTTTAGTGCCTACTGGTCTTGTCTCCACAAATTTGTGTGGGTCACAATCAGGGCTCATTTTTCACAAATGCCCAAGGTCGCCTTCACTGGGCCAATATTTCACTTCTGCTGCAGTTATTTGATCTCCAGGAGGATCCAGTTTTCTGGTCCATATAGCAGCACAGGCATATATATTGTAATGATTTTTATTTATCAAGTATTCACAATTAAAAAATAGGTTAGAGTTAAAAATGTTGTGGAGGTGAGGACGCAACCCCCACTATCTTTCATCCCGACCCAGTTGTCTTCCGGCCATTGGCCAGGATGCGTTGTCTCTTGGTTCCGGAACACTCTGGAGTAAACGTCCACAGTTATCAAAGGGAGTATAGACCAGATGAAGACCATATTTAATTGAAGTAACATTAGCAGATCAAGAATAGGGAGCATCATATTTGAGATAAGAAAGAACTATCAGAGAGACAGTTCCAAGAAATAGTAATAGCAGTAATTTAAATTTGTTTTATTTCATTTATAAATTTGTTCTTAGATTAAATAAAATGGTTGATGTATCAATGTCACTTATTTCATCCTTGGTAATTCACAGCCCACGAACCGTTTCAAGCCTTCAGCATCCATAAAATTTATCATAACATATTAAAGTTATGATTCAATATATTTTCAATTATTAAAATAAATTCAATAATATCAGAACATTTTATACATATATTGTTAGGTCACGTTTCCTTTGAAAAGTAAACAAACAGTTTCTTAACCAAATTATTTTTATTTCACACAATAATTATTTTAAAGACTACAAATTATTTCTCAGGTTGGGTTGAGACAATAAACACACATTCCTCAATTATATAATATAAAAACATACATCAATTGTATATAACATTTATGGATTTCCATTCAGTTTTGTCGGGGTCAACTGTTGGCGCACTTTCACAATTGTTGTTGAAGATATTGCTGTATTAAACTTCTACAAATGTCTTCTTTTAATCTTCTATTAGACACTCACTATTCGCTGACCTGTCACTCTCTGTTGGAATCCATGATGTTTCCTCGCCGGCTGGTTAAACCCCTAATGTATGGTGGTTGCTCCTCCTTTCATCTGTCTTCCTCTGCTTCTTTATCCACCGCTTGACAGTAGTTCATGACGTCACTGCTCCGCACCACTATTTAAAATTTTATTGACCCATTAAATTCACTATGTAATATTTACTTTACAGTATATATACATCATCGGTTTATTGCAAAAAGTCATTAAGTGCCTTTTTGATATAGGTTAACTTTCAAAAAGGTTTTTATAAATTTCGAATTTATTTATCCATACAAAATCACTGTAAGGGCATGAAAATGAAACAAACCCTTTTATACATAAAATATAGTTAAAACAAGCGTAAAATTTCATGAAGGAAATATTTTTGAAAGTTTTTAATAAGTTGAGTTTATGAAATGTCACTCGATGATTTTTTGCAATGAACCGACGATATACCCGGCCTGGAAAATGTGGAGCTTGATGTCTTTATTAACTTCTCCCTTTCCTACAATTGTGTTTCTGATAGAATAATATATACTATTAGCTTTTTTTATCCTGTAGGATTTTTCTGATTGGACTTTTTCATTTCTGCTGATCATAGTTCATAGAACTCATTCACGACTTCAAGCTCTTCATCTTTACACAATATATGGATTTGTTCAGGCTCTCACTATTTTGCATTTTCTGACGTTAATTTTCATGCCCTTCCTTCCAAGTTCTGCTCCCCACTCACTGCCAGCAAATTATGTTTTAAGTTCTCATGGTCAAATGACCAATCACTGCCCTAGCTGTTCTTCTCTTACAAATTTTTATTATTTCATCCATAAATATGATGAACAGTAGATAACTGAGGCTATCTCCCTGTTTTACTCCTTTTTCCATCGGGAAACTCGACGACTCCAGGCCAATGATTCTCACAATATCTTTTGATGCCTGGTATGTTGACATAAAAATTTCTAATTTTAGAAATTAGTGGTTAAACTATCATCCCAAAGCTCAGCTAGATCTCATATATCATGCCGAGACCAACAAAGACAAAACAGACACAGTAATTGATCTATCAGCATCTGTTAGAAGAAATGGGTCAAGTCTACAATGCTCCAATTCTCGATTATTTATTTAGAATAACAGTGTTATTAATAACCTTTCTTTAATCATTAGATATAATGTGTCACTAACCAAACATTTGCTCTTAATAATTATGTAACAAAAGCTTTTAAAATATTGAACGTAATTTCAACAAAGAAATCATGCCTATCATGCCTTTTTCACCACAAGCGGTCACATAAATATGAGTCCAAAAATTTGTTTATAGAAGAAGAATTAATAAAAGATGTGTTTTATTAATACAATACCACTGTCACTTTAAATAACACGAGATGGAGCATTATAAAAGAGAACTGAAGAAACACCCTGGGTGGTACTTTCTTTGACTTGTGTGAAAAGATTTGAAACATATAAGCACATGGATTTATATAACCAATCAAAATCAGAAGATAAATTTAAATAATTTCAAGCTGAAATCTAATTGCGTTGCTAATGGAATGCAAAATGAAATTACAGAATTTTTCTTGTATTAAATGCATGTATTTTTATCAAACCTGTATTCATGATACGATAGGTAAAAAACATCTGAGTTCAATATATTTAAAAAAAAAAAAAATTCATACCTATCTAACAAATGCTCGCATTAAATCATCATGAATAAAAAAAAAATAAAAAAAAAAAATAAAAAAAGTTACAAATAAAATTATACTGTAATAATGACTATGGCAACAATTTACATTTTAATAAAACAAAAACATAACAATTAACTAAAATTTAGTAACATTTCAATTTATACATACATATATACAAACTTCTATTTACAATAATGCATCTTAAAAACATTTATACTTATTAGAGGAAACATAACTTGCACTTATGCAAAGATTTAATATACAAACCATATAATCAACTTTATGTTAGTTACTTGGGAGCTGCTCGGGCATATGTAAACCAATAACGGATACGGCAAACATTGCCGTCAGACCGACGAGAGCGGTGGTAGTAGTGAGGGAAAACAAATGTGAATAGTTATACCTACAAATCCAAGCTAAACAAAGTAAGACGCTAAGGCATGTGTACAACAGTCCTCCGAGGTTCCAATCGGGAGGCGGTGAATTACTGTGCTGTTGAGCGTTGGATCTTTGAGTATTCTGCTGCGCGTGAACGAGGCAGTGTACAACGCAGTTGTCGTATAGGCCGCATCCTTGAAGAGTTTGATCGTCTCGTTGAAGAATTTGTCCGTTGAATATGAGACGAACCAGCTTTTGTGCTGATAATTCCATACTGAAATGCCTCCTAAAACAAAGATGGTAATTATTATGAAATCCTAACTCACAAAGGCCACTTTATTTAACACAACTTATACATATTATAATGATGTAGAGATGGTTGACCGTTGATATAATATGAGAAGGAGTTAATTGGGGGGTGCGGTCAAATAAATACTAAATTAAAATATAGTAATTATTTAATTTTTTGCCGAAGTTTCGACCCACTTTGCAGGTCGTCTTCAGGGCTACTAAAGATACAAAACATGTTGAAAATAAAAAATAAATATAAATTAAGAAGAAGTTGTCAGATACAGAAATAAAAAGATGATATCAGAGATATAGTGGGTGACAATGCAGTTAAAATATTAAGTATTATATATGTAGAAGAAACAAACAAATTGAAAATAAGTATGAATAAAAATAAAAATAAAAGAGAATATAGAATGTAAGTTAAGATAAAGTTTATTTAACTACTACTACCATCTATGTAATTTAAGTTAAGTTAAAGTTTAAGTTTAGCTTGTAAGTTAAGTTAAAGTTTTTTATTTTTATTCATACTTATTTTCAATTTGTTTGTATCTTCTACATATATAATACTTAATATTTTAACTACATTGTCACCCACTATATCTCTGATATCATCTTTTTATTTCTGTATCTGACAACTTCTTCTTAATTTATATTTATTTTTTATTTTCAACATGTTTTGTATCTTTTGTAGCCCTGAAGACGACCTGCAAAGTGTGCCGAAACGTCGGCAAAAAACTAAATAATTACTATATTTTAATTTAGTATTTATTTGACCGCACCACCCAATTAACTCCTTCTCATATTATATCAACGGTCAACCATCTCTACATCGTTTAATATTAATAATCAATATCAATACTGCTCAAATGTATTAGTATTACCAGACCTGCATGTTCCTCATAAATGATACAAAATAAATTGCACAGGTGTTACTACATTTGGGTGCTGCCGTAATCTTTAGGCTAACCTCCAGCACACTGGGATGTCTTCATTGGACATTTGTTCTCGGTATCATTCTACCAGCCCTTATTTTTGATAAGGTAAATTATAAATTTCTTTCAGAGATTATATTTATCCAATTTTGAATTATTTCTAACAATGTAAGTTGCTAATGTTAATTATTTCGAATAAACAGATTAAAATTGCTTCAGAGAAAGAAATTTTTAAGAGCGACCTAAATATTTCATATATAAGTAAATTAAAGAAAAATAAATGTTTCCTCCCCACAATATAGTTACTTATTTCCATATTATATTACTATCTGATGACATAACAATATACTGTGTGAATTATTCGCACAGGCAAACTGGTAAAATTAAAATAAAACAGATCCTATAGCAGCTTGAATGAAGATATTGATAGATGAGCCTGATTTTTCAATTATATGGGATACTATGGTCAGTTATTGCCCTCCAACTGAGGTTCCAAAGTTCTTGTTATTGTCATTATTCTACCCACTTCATTTTACTTTAATTTTTTTATCTACATTGTTTATGTTTCTCATACCTTGTTATCTGGTTCTTTTCTTGGTCCTGATGAAGGCCTGAACTTCAGGTCGAAACGTCGGCAAATGTTAAAATAAATATTATTATTTATTTTTGCCATTTTATTTTTGACTGATCACTCCAACCATCCTTCTCTTCATTATTCACGACAGTCAACCATCAACCCACAATTATATTTTATAAATAAGTAACTATGCTCTCTGTGATAGCAAAGTTCCAAAGTTGCAATGTTTTTCAGTAATACAAAAGATATCTGTTGCCTACTGCTGCAACTCTTGCTTATATTTTCACTGTGATATAATTTCCCCCCATCACTAAAGCTGTTAGGTATTTAAAACCGCCCATTTTCTTAAATATTTGATGGAGCAGTTGCATGCGATCCTGTCCTTTCCTCACTTTTTGAAAATTACATATATTGACTTTTTCCCTATTTATCTAAAGACTTAATTTTTTTCTAGGATCTTCCGAATCCTGTAAAGCTCCTGAGAGTACAGCTTTTGGTCTTGATGTTATTACTACATCATCATACGCAAAGTATTGGAGTAAGTCTATTATATATTGTTCCTCCATGGTAGGCCTGGGCACTCTTGAAATAATTTATTTCGAAATGAGTTATTTCAAAAATAATTATTTCAGATTTACTTACTTCATAAATAAATTACTGCAAAAAATCATGAAATAATTATTTCGGAAAGAACTCTGTACTGAAATAACATAAAAAATCCACCCATATAACAAATATATAATTTAAATTCATAGTGTAACCCCACCCCATCAACCTCTAATCCGCGGGTGATAAATGACTATAGGCTGCATATTTCGTACAATATCTTCAGGTATCCATCTCAAATGGGCTAAGTGTGCCCTACCACCTTAATATTATATTTACTCAATATATTTTCTACTATTTGAGACACTTTATCTTTTGTAGAGCCTAAGTGTACTTGAAAGACATTTCATTTTTCTTATGCTCCCTTTTGCTTTTTACAATTAGACGGACTTGAGGCATTATATTTACTGCTGTTTGAGACACTTTAATTTTTTTAGAGGCTGAGTGCGCCCGATTACTGCTGGTTTTTTTTATGCCCGCTTTAGGTTTTTATTGTAGTTAGTCAGATTTGAGCCTTGAGATGAGTAGGGAAACAAAAAAAATTTTTTTTCGGGCACACTCGGCCCCTACAAAGATTAAAGTGTCTCAAAGAGCAGTAAATATGTCTTAAGTCCATCTAATTACAGGAAATAAAAAAGGAACATAAGAAAAAATGAAATTCCTGCCGCGTACACTCAGGCTCTATAGAGACAAAAGTGTCTCAAACAGCAGTAAATATAATGCCTCAAGTCCTAATTGCAGAAAACAAAACGGGGCATAAATAAAAACTAAATTTAGAGGGAACAATAGGATTTTTATTATGGTTATTTCATTCACTTATGCATCTATAAGAATGATTATTTCAGAACATTATTTCTGAAATAATTATGTCATTAATCCTGAAATAATCATTTCGGAAGTAATGCTCAATTTCTTTCAGGAAATAAATTATTTCAGAAATAACTGGGGAACGTTATTCAATGATTTATTTTGGAAATATTATTTCAAATAAATTCTGCCTAGGTCTACTCCATGGTTTGTCCTAATTGAATTACCTACTTGCTCCAATGAAATATATAATAACATAGGAAAAGAGGATATACCAGGCGTAAACCATTTTCTGCATCAAAATCTTCTGATAAAGTGTTTTGTATGTTCAACCTGCATCTGTTATTTCCTAGAGTCATTACTCTTAGTCCAACTAGCTTTTCTGGGACTTTCATGACTTTAAGCAGCTCATTCTTATCAAGGCTATCAAATGCTGATCCAATTATATGAAGAGGTGATGTAGAATAATATTGTACTCATATGACTTCTCCAGCATTTGTCTAATGGAGAAGATATGATCTGTTAGGCTTCTTCCAGACTGGAAGTCACTTTGATATTCACCAGTATTTCTTTCTGTCCATGTCATGATTCTTTTGTTTATCACTGAAAAAATTCCATCAACTGAAAATAGAGGATAACGTAAATCCAAGAGGCTCAAGCAGGAATTCACCAAAATAAATTTGTAAAAAAATTATGCTTTATGTTGGGTGGAATTATAAGAGCTTATTTACACATTAAGCTAGTTCCAAATGCAGGATTATTGATTCTGAGCTTTACTTTGAACAACTTGGAAGTCTTATAGAGTTTTAAAAGAGAAGAATTATTAGAATAAAAAGATGTTTCATGAAAACACAACTGTCCATTTTTCCCCCACCATTACAGAAAAAAAGGATATTAATAAATATCTCCCCATTCTCTTTACTGCAGTAATGTTACACTATCTCATTTTTGGTCAATGCTTTTTTGAAAGGCCAGACCTACAAAAACAATAAGGGAGTCAAATTACAATGTGAGGAGTTTTTTTTGTTTTCTCAAAACCAAGGAAGCACTAAATTCAACTTCAGGCAAAATTTCAAAATACTCATATACTTGAATACAATAAGGTCTATTTGGACTTAGGGAGTTGAGTTATTGGACTCTACTAAACCATTGAATTCCTCTTGTATCAAATCCTCACTACTCCTTACTTTGTTACACATGAAGCCATCCATAACTACTTTAATTTCCTAATGTTTCTGATAGGCCCAATCCTAATACCTATCCTTCCACAATAAACTTCAGAACCATCCGAACTCTCTTGTTTCTAGCCTTGGATCCATTTCGATTCCTAATAAACCGCAGAAAATTCTGAAAAGAAGATGGTCTCGTGATCTAACATAGACATATTGATGGAGGGCTACCAGTGGCTAGTTTCTCAATTGGCGTTTTCATCTCATCTTGTTCATTTTTTCATATTATGTCACATCATATTCATTATATTATATCATATTCATATTTCTTTATTTTTACTTCAATAATTGTACAATAATAGATTTAAAACAAATAGTTATTAGCTCATGCATTCATTATTACTGTATATAAACCAAGTTAAGTTGAGATAAAACTTAAGAAATAACAAATGTTATTAAAAAGTTTAAAAATTATATTTCTAAATAACATAATTAAACTTCTTTTGTATAATAACCATAAATATATATTTATTTTTTTCTTTCTTGCATTATTAATTTACTTCATTTTTTTTTCACGTGTATTATGTCAAGCTGAGTGATAGGGGATCTTTTTAAATACCAATAATCAAAAATTCAATCTAACAGACCAAACAAATTTTAATTCATGATTTACTCAAATAGTATCTTTTTGATTTTAACTTTCAGAGCTGTTCTCATAAATTAAAATAAACTGGAATACCAAAAGAAATGTCCAGTATTTTTTTCTTTTAATAACATGTTACATTTCCTACAATCTTGACCTTCATATACTGCTCATTTTTTTAATAATCCTTTCATGGTCAATGAACTGTCCTTCCTTAAATTTGATTTCCCCATTTCAACCAAATAAGCATAAATATTTTGTGCTAATGATCCTTTTTAATATGCTAATAAATTTAGTAGTCTCAGATTTTATTGAGCTATAATTTTATTCAAATGAATAAAACTTAAACAAAGTAATCTTATTTGCACTGAAATAATAACTGAATCTCTAATTTAAGTTTTAAAAGTTAAGAACAGTAATTATAGGTGATAAATATTCAGGACGCAGTCTTTTATAAAATTTTTATATATATATACTTTTATAAATTTTAAAAAAGACTGCGTCCTGAATATTTATCACCCATGATATGTAGAACAGTCGACTAACTTCCTTCAAGAATTCAACAGTAATTATATTTAACGAAAGAAAAATTATATATTGCTAATGTCACTCGATACAACTGAAAATTTTAGTTTGTGTCATAAAACAATCAGTTAAATCCAAAAGTATAGTTAATAGCATCTAATCAAATTAAATGCTTATAATATTAAATTAACTCTGCCAAAACATATTATAAGGATTCCTTAAACAAACCTAACAACCTAATACCAAAGTAATGATTATAAACTTTTTTAAAAACAATATGGAGGAAACTTAGGTATTTATAAATACAAGAAGACATCGGCACACTTTTTTTCATAATAGATTAAAAAACTATATATACTAAAATCAAGAGTGATTATAAAAGAACAGCCATGAGGGATTTGTGACATTCAAGAACCATGACAAATAAGATTACATGAGAAACTTGTAACTTTTATAAGTGCAAATGAACAATGTTTATTTCAAACAATAGATATTAAATTGATTTGATAACCTTGGATACTTATTTAAATCAATCATATTAACATTACAAATACCCTTTAATCTATTCCATTCAAATAGTTGTTACTAATTCATATCAAGATAATTGCCAATGGAAGTTTGCTTTACACAGGAACACTTATTTTTTAAATCGATTCGAAAATTTAATCATTGAATTGTTGACAAGACTGAACAGAGCAAGTGATAATGATAAAGCAATTTAATAAATGAATTTATGATTCAGTTGTCAAACATTTTATGGCATCATAATTATCTGATAAGGCACAGTAAATAAAAATTAATACTGATAACATGAAAAAAAACATAACCTTACTTTTACTGTAAATAACTAACTTTATTCTCAACACAAACTTCATTCTCTATCTAATTTCATGATGAGTAAGATGGTCCTTCTCTAATGATAAAAATATAAAGATAAACACATTGTTCATTGGGAAAAGCAGTATTAAATAAAGTTATGCATAAATCACCTTTTAAAATCACCGAGTAACTCCTGAAGCCTTCCTTCGACTAACTTTTGGTCGTCATTCAAATACTTCAGCCTTATACGAATATTGTCACCATTTGTTTCACTGCTGTTTTCTGTATTCTGGTCAAGCTGTGGTTCAGTTGGTTCATCACCGCTGGCATTCCTATCCATTTCACTTCTCACCGATGGTTCACTGTTTGAAGCTTCTTCGGAAGCTACATTAGCATGAATATCTCTGGTTACTGTTATTTCCCTTTTGTTTACAACATTTCTGTTGGATGATAAACGCCTCTGACGACAAGCAGTTTGGTCTCCTTGTCCAGTGTCAATTCCACTAACATGTTGTGATACCAAAGTTGTCTGTTGTGTGCTTGTGTTTTGAGTTCTTCTTTCCAAAATCAAAATAGTCCGTATCTGTGGCAAATCTCTTATTCCTGTCGACCACCAGGCAATAACTCCTAACAGTACAACAAGAAGTATTCCCAAAAATTGTAGCACTTCATCGCCAACACCTTCAATTAGTGTCATAATAAATTACGGAATGAGTTTCAGATAGAAGTAATTGTTGTTGAATTGAATAAAACTTAAAATTTTGTTAATTTTCACGTTACTTCTTGACAAAGATGAGTAATCAACTGAGTTTATTAAAGGAGAACAATTACACTAATCTGAAGGTCAACATATACTGCCACAGGTAAAAGTCAGCTGTCTGGGATTTGACATCTTATTAATAATTGACGCATTAGAATTGTTAGTTTATGTTTAATAAATTATTTTATTATTAAATACTTTGTATGTTTTATATAATATATGATTAGAAGTTAATTTATTGTTATTAGTGCTATTTGATATCTCCGATTCAAATGGCAGTTGGAATGCATAAGAAGCCTCCATTTTTAGCGTAAGTGTATTCCGAGCGTATACTTGTGTTTATGGTTGGATATGTTTTAATTACGTTGATATTTCATTTAGCCATTGTTCCATTTAGTGAAATACCTTCTCAACTAACGAGGTTAGCAGTCTTTAATGTTTTATTTTTAAAAGACTTCCGTTATATTTTACAGGAAACAGGAAGTTAGTTTAGTTTTAGAAAACATCCTGTTAAGCGTTATAATATGTCAAATAAGTTATTACATCTGAACTAAATGTATTTTTATCTTATCTTGCATTAGTCCTCAACACTTACAAGATGTATTGTTTATTAATTTATTTCACTCTACCCTCCTTCAGGGTGTAAACAAATGTCTAGGTTATAACACCTCTTCACACACAACAGCAATTTTTTATTCGTTTTTGTTTTTGTTACAGGTAATCTTTGAAGTGGAATGTCAGAATTGGTTTAATTCAAGAAAATGCAGGGGATAGTGACATTTAAGGAAGATAACATGGAAACTGTTCAATCACTTCAGGTATAACTTGGTTGTAGAAGACGTGAGATGGAGCGCTATTTGATCGTACTTAATTGATATTTTTGTATTACAGCTACGTTCTGACAATGAATCTAAATTAAAAACATTATTTAAAAATCATTGTTTATTATTTTTACAATGTTTTCATTATTATTTTGAAATAATATATTACTAAATAATGAATCAATTTTTAAATCATGCCTTCACTTTATAAGCAGGACATATTTATCTTAAAATTAATTCACAAAGCTAAACTATTATATTCGTATACTATTATTGTTAAATAATTATTTGCTTTTTTTTCTAATATAAAATTTATAAACACCCCATCTAAATTGTTATAGTTGCTAATCAACTAATTATTAATATTTTCACAATACTTTACTATTGACAATAGACGGTACATAAAATAATTTTTTATTTTATTTTTTTATTAAGAGTTACCATTAATAGTGGGTTTCCTTGACCTAAACCTTGGATTGCTTCTTTCCATAGTATCCTATCTAAGGTCCATTCTTCCCATTGACCATGTCCCATCATGGATTCCTCCACTTCGTTATCCCAGGTCTTCCTCTTCTTCTTTCCCTAGTTTTCCATAAGTGGACTTCTTTGGGTAGTCTTCCTTCAGCCATTCTTTTCAAATGTCCATATCAGTTCAGGCGTTTTATCTCAATCTTTTCCAGAATGGTTCTTTTAGCCTCCATCTTTTCTCTGATGGTTGTATTCCTGACTTTATCCATTCTGGGTATTCCTGCCGCTTGTCTCCAGTAGTCCATTTCGGTGGCTACTGATAAATTATGAATATAATTAAAAATCTAAAGAAAAACATCGCTATTAAAAAATATAAATAGTATTTTTATTGGTATATTTTCACTTTTTTCGTCTTATTACAGTTTTTTTTAAGCCCCTTTCTGGCAATTTTTGGCATACTGGGTGGGTATTCTTTACGTTATTCACCTATTCTAGCTAGTGAGAATGCAAAGATTCATGTTGTGGGTTTTCACAAAATAAATTTCAACCCTACTAGACAGGGTTTACATCAGTCCTGCTTGGTTAGGCCTTAATGCTGAAGGCCTCTTAGTTTATGGTAAGAGGTGTGAATGAACATTATATGGTAGGATATTTTCCTTGTCTATTAGACCACCTGTGAATCTTCAAAGCTAGCCTGATAATGTTTAGCGTCCTATATTTGTCTTGACAACTTATCTCATATATTTTTTAAGACTTTAGATCTAGTTTACTTGATAAGAAATTTCTTGTAAGCTATTTAAGGAGCGGGGTAGCTCAGTGGGTGACCACTGACTTCCAGAGCTCGAGGTTCCAGGCTCCATGGCACTACAACTCATGAAGTGTCTTGGCCTCCTCAAGAAGTTTCCACCAGGTGTCTATCCTGCACAGCTGCTTTCCAGTTACGTGCACCAAGTAGTGCACGTGCATCCCTTGCCACACAATCCTGTAATGGCAGTCGTGGTCTTCCAAATTTCCTTGAGCCTTGTTCATTGCTCTCCATAGTCCGGCTGATAACCAGTAATTTTTCATCATCCGTGGGTCTGCCCTGGAGGCCGTGAGACCCTCAACCTGGGGCAAACCCAGCCCATGAACCATGAGCCAACGATGAGATGAAGCTGAGTGTGTTTGAGCGAGGAGTCCTCAGAAGGATTTATGGTCCAGTAAAGGAGGGTGATGTCTGGAGGAAAAGAAAAAATAGGGAGCTCAGTTCTCTTTATACAGACATCGACGTAGTCACGTATATTAAACTGGCCAGATTAAGGTGGGCAGGGCATGTGGCCAGAATGAGCACCATTGAGATACCCAAGAAAATAATGATGGAGGAGCTGCACCTCGCAAGATGGGTAGGAAGGCCGAGGACGAGGTGGTTGGACAACGTGGCTTATGATGCGAGAACCCTGCTTGGTGTACGGAACTGGAGAGCTGCAGCAGAAGACAGAGCCAACTGGCGGAGGCTCTTGGAGGAGGCCCAGTCTCGGTAACGGGATGTCGTGCCACATATGATGATGATGGTCTATTTTGAATTGTTTTAAATGTTTCTATATGCTATACCATTTTATTTTCTTATTTATTGTCAAGAAAGCATGATGGAGCGAGGGTTCCAGAGTGCTCGGTTCTGAATGCTGTGAATTTGATTTTCACCTGAGTCAATTAATATTTGTTTCTCTACAGCCATGAGAAATGAAACATTACACTCTCACTCTAGTTATTAGAGGTGTGACAACCTCAATGTAGCGCTTAGGGTTGATGAAAAAGTACATATAGGCCTACTTCGGGGACTTGTTCTTCCACTAGTATTAAAATTAAAAAGTACCACTGCAACCCATGAATGGTTTTGAGGCCAACAGTTGTGCAGGGAGATGCTTGGGCCAGGATCATGCTCAAACACTAGGTTTTTCCCCTTAATTATTTTTATAGTGGCTAGATATGCCCTAGGAGAGTTTCCTGACTGCATGGTCGATCCATGGCTGATGAAAAATTACTTGATAACAGCCAGATTCGAACTTAGAACCTTGAGCTTAGCAGGCCAGATGCTAATTCACTAAGCTACTCCGCTCCCTATCAGTATTAATAAACTTAAATCATGAAGCCAGTCTGAATATTGTATCTTTATTACATATATTTGTAATTTGGTTAAAATATTAGTTATATAAACAAATATTACATTTAAAATTTATTTTTTCAGGATATTGTTTCCTATAATGCTGCTAAAAACCTGAAAGACACAAATTTGCTTGACCTCGGTCGGCAACTTCTATCCGAGGCAAAATTAGGTAATGGAGAACAAATAAAATTGTTAGTCGCTGCAGGAGCTCCTTTCACAGCTGACTGGGTAAGTCGTGTTTTTTAAAGATTTTTTTAAAATTTAATTTGTTTCAAAACTCTTTTTAAAATATTTTTCAATGTTTAGGTAGGAACAAGTCCAATCCATTGGACAGCTCATTACAACTATATAGATGTAACAGAATTGCTTTTGCGATCCGGTATATCTCCGGACGCTAGGAATAAGGTGGATAGAACACCACTGCATGTGGCCTGTCAGAAAGGACATTTGGAAATCACTCAATTGTTGGTTGCTTTCGGTGCCGATGTCAATGCTCGTGACATGGTAATTACTAAAAACATTTTTATATTGAGTTAGAAAATGAAATAGTTGTTTAGCTAATAGTTTAATGTTAATGTATTTTTATTTTATTTTTATGTTTTGTATCAAATAGAGCACGTTCCTAAATTCAGCACTAATTCCATCGATGGGATTCATCAATTGATTGAATCCAGCATCAATGGACAGCGATTTATGCTGAGTTTAGAAATAACCTTCCATTTTTCAGAAGGTTAAAACTACTGGAAGGATACAAAACACATGAAAAATATATTAAATAAAAAGAAGTTAACAATCTACCTAATGATTTTTTTAATTTAAAAATTAAATAAAGTTAAATAGAAAATCAATGTAATTTAAATACATAACGTAAATTGAAGTGGCCCTTGGCCCCAAAAGATGAAGAAAACCGCTAAGCCATCGGTGATTCAATCAATGAAAAAAAGTAACATGCTTAATGCCATTGATATGTGTAGGAATAATTTGATGAATTCCTATACCACCAATGAGATCAGCACTGAGTTTAGGAACTCGTCCATAGTTGACTAGTTATAACTAAGGCCTGGATTTGTATGCAATATAAAACATCAAATAATATGGTATCAACAGTAGGATATCATACAGTAAATAGTAAATCAATAGTATGATATTTTGCTATCAAATAGTGAAAAAAGGTAAAGATAATATGTTGAGGCATAAACACATTTAAAAAAATATTTCACAATAAATGAATGATTTCATTATGTATGTTTTTTATGTTTACAATTATTGTGATATTTTACAACTTATTTTAACTTCTAGTAGCATCTTTCCTAATGGGGACCCACAATAGAGATTTAGCTTTATTTTGCTTTCTCATTACTGAATGTAGAAAAGCATTGTATTCGTGTGAGTGGTTAAAAAAAATTTTGTGTTCAGAATTGAAAATTTTCACTCGCGTTTTATGTTTCAGACATCAAGAATCAAATTTGGTTCGGTGTCGTTCTGTCTGTAGTGAAATCAATGTGACGGGCATATCACCTAGTACCATTCATCCCTTTTTCAGGGATTTTGCATGTTGGTTCGGTTCCTAGATAGTCCCTTATCAATTTTCTCAAATTCCATCCAGCACTTCCTCTCCTTACGCACACAAACGTTTTTTTTTTTTTCAGATAGGCCAATATTCCAGAAAAGGCTCCTTTAATTTGGCTCAAAGTTGGATAAAACATAAGTATTGGTGAAAAAATAACGTAGAGTCAATTTTATTGAATTCTGGCCATTACTTTCTCTTACATGTGCTCAAACGTGTTGTCCTTGATACATGTATATCTCTAAAACTGCCCGTTCGATTTGGCTCAAATTTGGAGGGAAATAGGGATTGGGGTTAACAGATAATCAAATATATATGAATTTTATCAAATTCTATCCATTATTAAAAAAAAAAAATACTTCCCCTTTCAGATCAGGAAATTTATTATTTGATACGCCTATAGTTTTGAAAACTGCGCGTTCGATTTGACCCAAACTTTGAGGAAATTTGGAGGAAATAGTAAAAAAAATTATGCAGCACCAATTTCATTGAATTCCATTTAATAATTAAAATTAATATAAATAATTGTTAACAATATAAATAATGGCTGTGAAATGTGGAAGGCATTGATCATCTGGAGTGAGAGTTAGGTTAAGACAATATTTACTTCTTGAGAGAAAAAAAAATTCAAATTATAGATATTGCTTTTAGTTTTTAGCAACTACTTTTACTTTTTTTTTTTTTAATCAAACATGATTTTATTATTTGAAGTATAATAAGTAAAGTAAAGCCTAAATATATTATTAACGTCTTGTCAAATAGTCTACACCATTATTAAATTCTATTAATCCAAACATGTATAATATACGCCTTTAAAGCAGAAATGTGCACAAAAATAAAATATTGACCAAATATGCAAAAGTATTCTACATAAAAGTTTGCCAAAATATTTAGAATGACTTGTTTCATTAAGTTATTGACTCATATTTTTGAAAAAAATTATGCGTTTAAATACAAAAGCGATCGTTAGGTATCTATATCTATATAACATTAGACTAGATAGTCAAGTGAGTAGTCAAAACTAAAACACATAATTATATTATTATAATTATTATTAGTATAATGCATAATTATACTTAATTTTAAGGTCACAATTGAAATTGGGAAAGACAAAGAGGAGAGTATTTCATAAAGAAAATAATGAGTTTCTTTATGGAGCCATTTAATTGATAATTAATATAAGTGCAAAGATATCATAAAAGTTTAACTTTATGTTGTAAATGTGATGACTTGCTTTTTTAAAATTGTTAATTTTATTATTTTAAAGATAAGAATGACACCATTACATTGGGCAGCAGTTAGTGGAAATAAAGAAATAGTAAAAATATTGCTTGATCATGGTGCTTCAGTTCAACCACTCAGCAAGTTTGGAAAGACTCCTGCAGATATCGCTGAAGACCATTCCTACTATGACATTATAAAGCTTATAGAGGTTAGGTCAATTCTTTTATTATTTTTTCGTTTGTTAATAAATTTATTTGTTACAATCATATGATTACTGTTTTTTAGGAGACAAAAGCTATACCCCCTCAAGAAAGATTTGTGAGAGTCTCTTTGAAAAGAAAAGAAAGTCAGAAAATCAAACTTGAAGATAACCAACAGTCTCTAGGCGCTGTTGGGGGTGGAGGTAAATATTCTTTTTATAACAGTTAAGGTAACCTTGTTTTTGTCTTATCACTGATTCTAGGGATACTTACGAACAATGTCAATAAAAATACCAGATTCGCTCATTTAGAGGGAAATGGTTGTGAGGAATCGAGTTCTGACCTAATTTGGACATTAGAAGATTATTATGTTGTTTTCTGTATAATAAATACTTTAATAACACAATAACTTATTAAGTGATTAACATTAATAAATTTAAAAAGTGAGGGAACGGTTCATTTGTTATTTTGTTTATTCTCAAGTAATCATAATGTAATTGAACAAGTTGATTTAATAAGTAAGATTTTTTTTTTGCATAAATGCATAAATTACATTGTATCAGACTTTTTATTATTTATTTCTAATCAGAATAATTTAATAGTTCTAAATATCATATTTAACCTGCCAATTACACTTTATTCTCTTATGTATATTTATTGGTTAATCTAAATGTAAATTTCTGACTGACTGAAGTTAGTCCTTATAAATTTTGTAGCCGACTTAACATGACAATGTGACTTGTCAGTATTGAATAATAGTATTTAAATATTTTATTGTATTGTAAGTTTTATAGATATTATGATTTAAATTTTTATTAATATTAATTTAAAATTGTGTTATTCTTGTGATCTTACAGAAGTATTAAAAATGGTCGCCAAGAGAAGGAAGATTGGCCTTGGGATTATCCTAAATAAAAAGGGTGAAAATGGTGATACTAAAGTTGAACTTGTCGACAACGATGAGAAACCAAAGATTCTATCTTTGACTAATGGCGGTAAGTTTTATGAATTGTGAACTCAATAATATCTTCTTTTTGACAGTTTTAAATGTTTCCCTACTATTTTTCATCCTGATTAATAAAACACCATTTTATTTTTCTAATTTTTCAAGACTTAAGTTATCTTCCAAAAGTAATAGGCTGTATAAATATTTAAAAGAAATACCGCTTTTCAACAAAAAATTAATATAATTTTTTTTAATGTAACATAAAATTAATATTCAAAATGTAACCCATTGTGGTGTACTGCCGTTTTTCGGCCAGTTGCTTAATCCCTTACAAGTACCACTCTTTTAGATGTTGAAAAACTCTTGAATTGCTGTCTCGGAGTCGTGTTATGTATTATGTAAGTGGACTATGGACCGAAAAAAATTAAAATCTGATGCAGCAAGGTCTGGACTTTATAGTGGGTACGAAGAAGTTTGATACCATCAAGATTTTAAAATTTTTCTTTGATCTGTCGAGAAGTATCCAAGTAAACCATTGTATCGCCGGAACAGAACTCCTTTGCGGTCGAGTTGGATAATGCTGCGGCAGAGAGAGCTGTTTGATCAACTGGAAAAGCCATTTGACCTCGATCTAATCATTGTGCAGTGTTATTAGGATTTCGCCAATAAATCCACTTTTCAATGCAAGTGACAATTTTTGGTAAAATACCAATTTGGAAGGATTTTAAAAAAGATTTTTGTAAATCTCCATCCTCTGAACAGCTTATTGGGGTGTAAGCTCATGTGGTACCTGTATACTGCTCCTTTTTATCTTACCCATGGGGTGTAGATGGTGACACAAAGTGTCTTTTGATGTTCCAAACTTCTTGGCAATGGAATGGATACTTGTGAATGGATTTTATTATTTTATATTTTTAAGAGCTTCATCAATCTTGAGTTGATGATCATCTTGAGCCCTTCTACCTTTGCAAGGATGTTTCTCCACAAGAAAATTTTTGAAACCAACACCGCTCGCAAGGATGTTTCTCCATAAGAAAATTTTTGAAACCAACACCGCTCGGTTTTCTCGTCAAGGATACTTTCTTCAGTTTTCTTGATCTCTGAACAAGATGTTCTTCAATTATATCCTAAAATAACAAGAATTTTGTAAGATACCATCATTTTACTTTTTCGATAAAAACTTTTGAATTAATAATTTATCGAGCAAGCCCATTGTTGATAAATAAGCTTAGATTATTGTACTTAAGAGATAATACATTATTGGTGAACAATAAATAGAAGTAACGTGTTGACAGTTTTTTGTTTTCATGCAATTGATGAAACGGTATTTTTTTTTTTTTTAAGCCTATTAATCAGATTTGAATTCAAACAAAGATTATCTCTTAGCGACATTTTAGGAAATCTTACTGTTTTTTGGAACCAACTTAGGTTACAACAATAAAGCCCTGAATTATTCTGATGCATATTTGGAAAGATAATTATCATTTTGAATTAGTGTTGTGTACATAGCTATTTCACGAGTTTGGCCCGAATACGTCAGAGACAGCCATTGCCTAGCTTGTACTGTAGATTATCTTATAGTTTTTTTGCTTAAAATAGTATTTCATGGTTTAAAACTTTCATTCAAACAATATCTCGTCTCTGAACAAAAATATTTTGTTTAACATGTATTTTATTAGCTTTAGTTAATGCATTTTTATAAAGTAGACCTGAGAGTATCTTGTTTGGCAGTTCCTGAGATTCATTGTTTTTTCGTATGATTTTATTTTTTCCCTATATACTTGGGATCTCCAAACTACCTGCAAGCACCTCTAATCTGGTCTGCGAGAGTTTCTTGTTTGGATGGTAAAATTATAAAAAGATATGAAGTAAATGAAAAAAGTAAATCACTCGAGCACGAGTATTTTATTGCACAAGTATTTCCTCTTAGAAAAAACAAACTTAGTTGGGAACTTAGCATATGCCTCGATGTGGACTACGGGCCAAAAAGTTTAGAGATGGAGTTTGTACGGTAGAATTTATTGAGGCTTTCTGATAGGGTGATTGATCCCGAGGCGAACGAGCTCATCAACCCAACAAACTTACCTACAGTTCACTGAGACTACAGGAATTACGCTCTAAAAAAGGAGTGACTTTAATAGAGGCGTACAATAGGCCTTCATTGCCGCGGTGCATCTATGCCACTTAGGAAAAAAAAAAATATTGTGGCTTTGTGAAATTTAAATACCTTGATCAAAAAATAAACTAGATTAAAAATGTCAATTTGAATTTTCATTCAAGTTTAATGTTGGTTAAGGAAAAAATAATTTTTTTATAATTAAATCCTTTTCATACTGTACATTTCTTTAAAGTTTTAATAAACAAGAAATGTTGTAATATAATAATTTCATATAATTATTTTTAGTACCAAATGATAAACAACAGGCGATACAGATGTTGAAAGAACATGGTATTACGATGTTGGAGCCTGATAATGGTACTGTTGTTTCGTCGGCTGTAGAAAGAGGCCAAAACATTAAACTTACAGGTATTAAATACTTGAACCATTATTAATTTTTCTTTTTCATTAAAAAAGAAACTATCAAATGGCTCTTGTAGATGTTATGCCTTGATTGATTTCAACAATACTTCTCTCTTCCCTCTTTTTGTTCTATAATAATATACATCAACAATAAAACTTCGCTATATACTCTTCTAGGGCCAACACATAAAGAGAACACTATATCTGAACAGTTTTTTAAAAATTTAACTTCCAATTGAAAAAATCACTTGAATCTAAATGTTTGATGTTCTTGGTTTAAAGTAATAAACTTTTATTCTTTAGACAACTAAGTATTTCTAAAAACAATATTTTCTAATTATTTTTTTTTTTAAGTTATGCATAGAATCAATTCAAGAACGTGTCACTACTTAAACCCATTGGTTAACATTGACCAATTATCAACTTTACATTACAGTATATTATTATGAAACATGCATAGAGTAATTTTATGGTTACTGCTGGAGAAAGATAATAAAGTAATTTGAATTTTTTATAATTTTTTTTCAGAAGCTGGGAAGCTTGCTTTAAGTTTTTCAAAACCTTCTACCACCATTACTACCAACAATACTACAACTACGACTTCACCATTTATAAAAGTGCTTCCTTCATCAGTTACTGGTATTAAACAACCTGTTAAAATATTACCTAAACCGCAAGGACCTGTAGATGTATTACCAAAAGTATTACCGAACGGTCAGAAGATCATCACCATTAAAGCTGATCAGCTGATCAACATGACTAAGGAAAAGAAAGTTATAATTAAAGTTGCGAGGCCAGTACCCAATGCTAGAATTATTGACGTAAGTAAATTATTTTCATTATTCTTATCTTGTTTGCTTCTTGGATCAGAAATATTGTGTTTTATTTTTTCAACATTTCCCTGATGGTAGTTAGGTGGGATAATATGCACCTAAGGGAGTTATCTTCAACAACTTGATAATAGTTTTAACACAAATACTAAAATTACTGCAGTTTTTGATACTCATGTATGTTTATGTATTTTATTAGGTTACATTTCCTTTGAAAAGTAAACAACAGTTTCTGAACCAAATTATATTTATTTTACACAATAATTATTTCTCAGGTTGGGTTGAGACAACAAACGCATTCCTCAATTATACAATACAAAAGCATAAATTAATTTTATATAAAATTTTATGAATTTCTATTGATTTATCAGGATCTACTCTTGGCATGCTTTCTAATTGTCACTATTTATATTTAACCCACCCTGTTCTGTAGTGAATCTTCCTCCAACTGTTGTATTAAACTTCTACGATGTCTTCTTTTTTCCTTCTATTTTCCTGTATTGGCTCTCACTGCTTGTTAGTCACCTGTCACTATCTCTTGGTCTCGATCCTCTTTAATAGCCGGCTGGTTACCTTCTGCCTTTACATAAGGCACTTGCTTTACCTTCCATCTCTCTTTCTCCGATTCTTTGTCCATTTTTGACAGTAACTCGTGACGTCACTGCCTTCGCCCCACTATTTATATTCATTATGTAATATTTACATTACAATATATATATACTTGAAGGAAGTTAGTCGACTGTTCTATGCAGTCTTTTTAAAAATTTTTTTTTTTTAACGTCACAGCAACTTTTTCGTCAAAATCGGCTTACCGGAAGTGGCACGTTATATCATGGCCTAACAGATTTTATAATTTTCTCGAAAATGGCTCTAACGATCTTGATTAAATTCATTATATCAGGGTAAAATTAAGCAGTTTTAAATAAAATGTAATTTTTATTCTGATTGATGTTCTCTAACAGGGCTTAAATGGCAAATTATCAATATCAGCTTCCTCTAAAGTACCTTTAATTTTTTTTATTTGAAACAATTGACCACTTATCAATAATGTTATCAATAACTTCGCATTAATTTCTAATTTAAAAGATAGTTAAATATACAATATGAAAGAATTTGATATCTAACTAAAGGAGAAAGAAATAAAAAATCGTAACAGAAAATAGTTATAATGGAAGAACCAAAGGAATACGAGTGCATCCAAGCTCTCCCGAAAGGTTAGAACACGCTTCCATACGTAACATGAGCTTAATATAATACAGACTCCGACAATATTCTATAAATATATGCAAATACGGTATTTCTAAATGCTATTGTTGGTATTATTTAATATATAATTGTATAGATTACAGCGATATAAATATTAGAATTTGTATATATTAGGGTACTTATATCATTAAAAATACCCACAATGAAATATAAATAAATAAAACTATAATTTTTACTTTCTCTTCCCCTTTGTCTGAATATACAATTTATGCTAAGAAGAGGATGGTAAGTGGAAGTAGTGTGATGCATCGCACCAGATTTTTTTTTTAAATCTGCACTATATACAATACAATATATATCCCTTTTTCGGCTCTCAGGAGCGATGGATCTTGATGAATCTAGTATGAAGCCAAAGAAAATTTCATGGAGAATTGACTATTCCCAATTCAAAAACTTGAAACCTTTCTACAACTACAATAAAATTCATTTAAAAAGTAGCAGTTTTTCAAATCAAATATTGGATGATGTCAAAAGTTGATGGATTGAATCAGGATCAGTTGTGTTCTAAATATTTTGCCATCAACTATATTGGAATCTGTGTTTTAAGCCCCTAAAATGTAAGTTTTTGAGGTAAATCGAAATCGGCGTGTCCCTGGCCTGAGGTATCAGAGCTCTATTTTAAAACTTCAAAGGGGATCTCATATTATTTCCGGAGATTCATTTGCGAGCTGGATAAGTAGTTTTCTTTTTTTTTTTTCCTTTATTCAATTATCAAATTCTTTCAAAAGTTATATTTAGTCTTTTTTTCATAATTCCTAACAACAAGATACAGTTAATTTTTTTAAATAAACCAAATTAAAGGTACTTTAATTAGAAGAAGGCGTATATGAACATTTAGCATTTAAGCCATGTAAAGTGCCATCACTGTGGATAAGAACTAGCTAATATTAAAAACAAGTTAATAATACACTGATATACCAAGTTTGATTAAAATTGTAAGAACTGTTTTTGAGAAAAATCGTTAAAATTTGTAACATCGATTATATAAAGTGCCACTTCTGGTTAGCCAATTTTTCTGTAACATCTGCTGTTAAATATGCAATTTCACTTTCATAGGACATTTTGTTTTTAAGCTAGACTGGTCACATATACACACGCACACATATACCATTTTGTGGGACTTGGTTATTTGGACTCAGGAGACCTCAAAACATGTATTTCCATTGAAAACTCAGATTCGAGATTTTCACGATCGCAATACTGTCCCTTATTATATATTTCATATATAGGTAAGTGAAAGTAAAAAGTATCCTGGTGTGGATGTATACTCCACTCAGTGTAACTATTAAACTATAGTGCTATTTTACAGTGAGAAATATTTAGTAAATTGATACTTTAACAGTCGTGGTTAAGAATGAGACTTTACTGATTGTGTGTTGTGTGACTATCTTGATAATATTATATTATTATTACATGAGACTGCGATGACCGATTGCTTTAGAGAAATGGCCACTTTAGGATCTCAAGTGCAGCAGCGTCGGCTCAAATCTGGCCAGGACGAATTGAAATTTATTTATCATGGCACACCCATGGAATGAATCTCAACCATTCCACTCTCGTTAAAATAGGTTTAATTGAATCTCAAGAGCAAAACTATCTCAAGAACACGCTTGTAGCTATATTGAGCGATTAGTCTCTTGTCAATTGGGAAGGTTACTTGTGTTTGCCGTGTTTATTTTCAGTTTCTTAGAAAATACATCAGAGAATCAGCATAAAATTTTTATGTTAAATGTAACCAAGTATTAGAAATGTTGAATATTTCTTTTGTTGAGTTTGGGAGGCACCAATAACAAATCTTACGCAGCTATTCATTAATCTTTTCAGTCTATCACGGTCAAATATGTATGAATTCGCGAGGTCTACTGTTCACAGAATTCAATGTTATTTCTAGGATCTGTAGATCTAAACTTACTAAGAAATAGATGGAAACTATAAAACAGAAATGAATACGATAATACGTTATCGGATATTCTGTAATGGAGAGGAGCCTTTTTCATTTATTTTGGAATGTAGACAAAGAGAATTGTCCACATTATGTTTTATTTTAGACTGTACTGTATTAGCTCGAATCAAATGAATCGCAGTATGTAAACAGCCAATCTTTCTACTTGTAAACAAAAATTTAAAAGTACATATAAATGAGTAGGGAAGACAAAAGAGTGGGGGTTAGATGGGAAAATGTTTTGCTCATCTCTCTCCCCCTCTACCCACCCTCAAACTTATCTTAGATAGAGTCTACAAATGTTTCCAAGATGGCTGTGAAGACAATAACTACGATGAACAATTAAAAAAGGTTGGCATATCTAAACAATACATGGCTTTTGCACCTCGATAATGAATCTGCACACACTTCATTGCTCATTCATGAATTTTTGGCATAAAACAGTGCTGTAATGATGTGCCTCCATATTCAACTGGTATGGCCATTTGAGATTTTTTTCTGTTACCAAAAATAAAAAGAACCGTAAAAGACCAATGTTTTTCAAGCATATTCGAGATTAAAAGCACATCGCTGAGGTGATAACAATGTAACGTTTGAAATAACCCACTCCGAGTCACTTCTTATCACCATAGCCCTGATGAAGACCTGCATAGTTTGTTTGGAATGTAAACTTAATAGTTTCTACTTTTTAAAGTTACTTTATTAATGCCGCCCTGGGCCATCTTTTCCCTCATTGTTGAGCATAAATAAATAAAATTGTTTTAAAAAATTATAGTTTCTGTTACTTTTTAAAACTTATTTTGTATGTAACCATTTAACAGTTATTCGAGTAATTAATTAAAAGTTGTAGCGTTTTATTGAGTTTCAATCTTTCATTGTAATATTTTGTAATCTGACCATCCTTTGCTGAATCTGAACAGCTTTGGATTACTTAAATTGTACTGTATTACACTTGTCTGTAATATTTCAAATTTAATGTTTTGCTTAAATTTTATAATTTAATTAAAATCTTTGATACTTATGTATTTATTTATTTTTTTATAGGGTAAACTTGTCACTACTACCCAAAAAGAACAATTGATATCTACAATGAAGGACAAACGCACCCAAGCCATTGTTTCTTTAGTCGAAAAGAAAAAGATTGCAGAAGAAGCAAAAAGAGCTTATGAAAAAGCAAAACAAGTTTTTGAAGAAGCAAAAGAAAATATGACCAAGTTGGAAAAAGATGTCGACGATATTCAAAAACAAATTACAAATTATGATCTAACAATTTCAAAATTGTTACCAAAAACAGACTGATAATTGTTTAAATTTTGAATTATTATTAATTTTATAATTTTTGAATGCTAACAGAACAAATGGTAAACCTGATAACCATAAATTGATTATGTGATTCGGGGTTCTACTGAGCATGTTGATGTAATTATTGTCATTGAAAATATTTTCATTTAATGATCAATACTTGTATAAAAGAAATTCAAATATGTTATCATTACAAAATGTAATGATACATCTTTTAATCATCCTGTATATACTTGTAAATAATATATTATTGAGATCTACTTTGATTACTTAAAGATTTTCACTGGTAAAATTTATATTAAAAAGATTATTGTCTTGGTAAAAAGTTACCTTAAAAAACTAATTTATAAGTGATGAAAGATTGTTCATTTTCAAAATGTTTATGTTATCTATTTATATGTATTCTCTTATGTTCCGCCCAGTAGTATAATAATAACTTTTTCTGAATACTTAAGTAAATTATTATATGTTAAATTTATTAGTATTTTATTTGTAATGGTATTGCTACATATTCAGTAACTATAGCAACCTCCTAGTTATATCCATCGCATCGATCTTGACAATTCTTTTAAGCCACCTTAAACGAAGAAAGAATGTTATTAATACACTGGCTTTTGAGTGGAAAAAAAAAAATATTTTTTTTTATTTGCATTCATTTCTCAACAAAATGTTGTTTAATTCAGAATGGTATTGAACTTCTCAGTTTCTTCCATTTTATTTCTATAAATGTATTATGAAATATGAGTTTAAAAATTCTCTTTTTATTCCTCCTTGGTTTATACCACAATACCAACATTATATTGTCTCATGATAGACTTAAATTTGTATTAATATTTTGACCGACTTCAATGTCTCTTACTTCCTTCTTTTTTTTGTAATTTCTATGTACATATTACTGTCTTCATATCATTGTTCCAATGTGTTATTGATTGACAATTTTTTTTTTTATTAATTGGAAAAATTAATTTGTTTTGATCGGTATTTCTGAGCCTTCCAACCATGAACCATTTTTTATTTCTCCCTAGTCAAATAATGTATCATCATAATTATTTTAATTATAATTTTATTATTTACATGACCATTAAGTATTTTTTTTTTAATGAAATTAGTCTTTATTTTCTGAGAGTTTTTCTAAAAATTTGTGAACCGTATCCATTTTATTTTTTACAGGAGAAGAATATGTATTTGTATATATATTTTTTTACTATCGTAATATGTATTGTTTAACAATCTTATTGTTACCAATTGTAAATATTTGACAATTGTTATACCCCTTTATCCCAATTTGTATATATCTATAAAATAAGGCTTTGAATTCTGTGCATAACTGAAAGTTTATTGTGATAAAAGAAAGTAAAAATGTTTTATAAGCAAAAGATGTGCCATTTTTTAAAAGAAGATAATAAGAAGATTTTGTATATATATTTTTGTATAATGATGATTTTTATAGAAGAATTGATCTTATCAGTTTGATAATAACTGTAAATGTTTAATTTGTGTGTTTTCAGTCTATATTTTATTATATTATATCAAAGTTGATTTTGATAAAGTTTTTAAGTAGTTATAATGTAATATATATCTTGCTGTTATGCAAATTTTTTAATTGTATTGTCATTGATATTCTGGTCGTATTTTCAATGAACTCAAAAGCCAGATATAATTATAATTAAATTTTACACTATTGATTATTGTTTTATTATAATTAACAAATAATTATGTATCTCAATGGTTTGACATGAATAATGCAATTACACTCCAATATTCCGTTATTGTGATCATAGCTCATTAGTTTTTATAATAGTTATAATTATAGTTATAAGACATATTTTCTGTTCTTTCTTTTTTTATGTTTGTTATCACTAAATGGAAAACTAATTCCTAATGTGTATAATGATGTTCCTATTTTATATTAAGTTTTTACCCTGATAAGTACAATTGTTATCTGATATTTTTTATACTTTTTTTCTTGTATACATGATCCTAATATCTTTGAATAAATGTTTTTTTTTTTCTGTATTTATTTGATAAATTTAGAAAATATCTGGGACTTCAGAGTTTGTGCATATTTAATAGTTTTTACTTTCCACAGTAACCATTTGAGAGAGTCACTTATTTCTAAATTTCACAGAATTTACTACAGCATTTTACCTTTATAATCGCTTCTCTGCAGATCAGTAATTTTTCTTCTTGTTTTCCTATTTATAATGCCAACTACACTTCCTAGAAAAGTTATTTTGTTGAGGGAGTGGGGTAACTCAGTGGGTAGAATACTGATTTCCAAAGCTCAAGGCACACAATCATTTATTGTCACATTAGCTGTTGTTTGACCCTGTTGTCTCTATAGGCCTTTCTGGGGTACCCAACCTCCATATAATGGGTACTCTGAATTAATTAAGGAGGAAAACCTGATGGTTGAACATGGTCTCGATCAAATCACCTCCTTGCACAACTGTTGATCAAGAAACAATACTTTCTTACCATGGGTGATAAATATTCAGGACGCAGTCTTTTTAAAAATTTTTTTATTTTTGCCAACGTTTCAACCCAAACATGTGGGCCATCTTCAGTGCTCAAACCACGCCCTGAAGATGACCCACATGTTTGGGTTGAAATTTTAGCAAAAATTTAAAAAAGTGCGTCCTGAATATTTATCACCCATAATATGTAGAACAGTCGACTAACTTCCTTCAAGAATACTTTCTTACATATTAGTGAACCCAAGGCCCTTCACGGGTTGTAGTGGTACCAGTTTTTTTTTTATTTTGTTGAAAATTGGAATTTATAAAATTGGCACTTACAGAATTAATGGTTTTTAGCAGTTTTGTAATATTTGGGAGAAAGCAAATCTCGTACTAATATTTATTTGTATGATTTTCCTACAAAATTGTTTTGGTCTAGTCTCCTCTATCGACCATATCTTCCTCCGCATTGTATAACCATATCATCCTGATTTGTCTCTTTTTCATGTTTCTATCTTTACGATGAAGAAGTTTTAAAAATGTGAAATTTAGGTTGATAATGAAAGATTAACTTTGGCCTTCGTTCCTGCTGCCATTTTTTGTACATGGTCATTCCATTTACAAGTTCTATGTTGTACAGGTTTGTGTTATTTTCTCACCCTGGCATAATTATTCAAGTCTTAGATGGCTTTTATCAATTAATTCTTACTCTTTTATTCTGTAACTATTCACAGCCTTTATAATGGAACCTGATACGATTCTTATACAAATATATTTATCTATAAATCATACAGCTAAAAAATAAAAATACAATTCAGTTTCATTTAAAAAATAGTTTTATATCATCTATCCTGAAGCCTTTTATAAAATATAGAACAAAAATTTTACATAATTATTATATAACATATGTAATGTTATCATCTAAATTTCATTTTAATATGAATTTAGAAGTTAAAAAATAAAACCTTAAAGATCAGGCTAGGCCTCACAGGCAGGGCTTAGAATTGATGTTGCTGTTTGCAATTGGAAAATTTTTGTATTTGTTGTAATTATGGCTCTTATAGTTTTTGAAAAAATAAAATGAGCGCATGCAAATTTTTATAAAATAGGTAAATATCAATAATTATTTTAATTTAATTTTATAAAAATTGTAAATAAAAACACTGTTATATATATTGGCCCCAATGTGTAGATTTAATTCTCTGTCTAATTTTATTTATATTTTTATCTCAAAATCTTACAAAAAATATCAAATTCAAGTTATATATAGTTTTTATTATATTGTTTTGAAAAAATTAAATTTCTCCCTACAAAAAACCTTCAGATCTTCGCCATTTGTTAAGATCATTTCTTAAGTGTTATTTTATTTTATTTTCTTCTTTCCTTGCCACTCGGCAATGCAGATTTTTGGTGGAAGTAGCTTGATACTTCTACCACTTGTCTTCGTTCGTGGAGGTTGAAGTGATCATCCTCCACTAATTTCTTCCACCCATACACAAATGCTTCATAGTACTGGTGGTTATCCTTACTTACTAGCTGAGGTAAATCGTCTTCTGTGAAGATGTATAGTCCGGTTTCTCTTAGTAGTTTGGCCCTTATTGCTTCAAAAGCAATGCAAGTTTTGCCGATACGCTCAGCAGTTTCTGGAAGACCACAACAGGGGCATAGGGAGTTAATTTATTTCCCAAAGCCATGAAGCTTGGCATGAAAACCCCCATGCCTTGTGAGGAATTGTGAGACCCAATAATCATATTCCTTGAGTGTTAATAGAAGGTGTAGGCATATTAAAAAAAAAAATTAATACAGTAAAAAATATTATGAATATTATAAATATTATGAAAATTGCCTGTAATCTGAGAATTTTCCATATGAATAGTTATGTGGATATAAATATGTTGGTGTAAATACATCAGGATGGTCTCTACAGTATTTATAAAAAAAAAATAAAAAACCTGTACCACTACAACCCATGAACGGTCTGGGGTTCAGTACTATTTAGGGAAAGCACTGTTTCTAGGTCAATAGTTGTGAAAGGAGGTGATTTGACTGAGATCACGCTCAACCACCAGGTTTTCCCCCTTAATTAATTATTTAATTAAGGGTACCCACTTTATAAAGGCTGGGTGTGCCCCAGGAGGGTCACACCCGCGAGGGTCGCCCCATGGCCAATGAAACAGATAAATAAATTTTCTGCCATGAGCCCTACCACAGGCGGATCTACGGGGGGAGGGGCTTTCGGGCTGATCCTCCCCCAAAATGGTAAAATATAACCATGTTTTACAGAAAAAAGTATTAAATACTATCTCTTAAAGTATTCTTGTTCGTGTAATTATATTTAATAAGACTTTAAGAACCACTTAAACACTATTTCATATAGGTAGTTAATTTATTTCCTTTTTTTTTCAAATTAATTATCGTTATATGTATATGAAAAAAAATCTTTTGTGCTGAAGCCCCCCCCCCCCCATTTAGAGTAGTAACATAATAAAAAAAAATCTACACAAAGAAATATAATCAAATAAAGAAATAAGAAATACAAGTTGAAAGCACTTTATGTGTAAATAGATTTTCAGAAATGGTTTTTTAAAATATGTGTTGGTTTTAGAAAAAAATTTGTTTGGGGGGAAGTTTTAAGTTTAATTTTTGTGTTGTGTGGATAGTCAGGGATAATCCCTTATATAAAATTATAGCAATTTAGATATTTTTGTATAAATATTGGATCATTATGTAAAGACTTTTTTTTTTTTGCTTTGCTTTTTTGCTGTCTTAATGTGTTTATATATTTAAAAACGAATTAATTTCTCTAGAATTTTGGATACTATATTCAGAAGGCTTGTTAATTTGTAATAAAATTGTTAAGTGCTGTTTAACACAAGTCTTTTAAAACATTTATCTAAGCTTTTTAAACAAAATTTAACTCTTTTTTCTTGACTTAATTGTGAATTGATATGTATTTTAAACTGTGAGTATTAAGAAGAAATTGAATCATATTCGTAAATAGTTAGAATGATGTACATAGATTCATAAAAAAATTCTTGATGAATTCTCAACTGTTCTCTTCAAATTATAATGTAAAATTAAAGCAAGGTAAGGTAATAACGGTTCACTTATATTAATTTTGATGGATTGAAATATAATATTAAAATAAATGAATAAAATTGTTAATAAAAATAATAAAATTGTAGATTTGAGTTGGCCACGCCTACTAGCGAGGCGGTAGATGAAGTGAAGAATGGTGGGGAGGGACCAGTCGAAGTTTGTTAATCGTGTGGTGTGGAGCTATGGCTGAGAGGAAAGGTTCGTTATTGGCAAAGTCTGTTTCTAAACATGCTGGGAGAGCTAAAGAAAAGGTATTTATGCATAAATTTTACTATATATGTTACATTTTCTTAAAATAATATGTTCGTGTGTTAACCTAAAGTATTTGTTTTCGTTCTGGTGATAACTGGTGTCCAAAGAAACCTCCTTTAGTTTTATCAGTGTTCAGTGATTAGTTTAAACAATACATTACTCAGATAACATTATTCTTTGTTTAACTAAACTTTTATTCGTCAATCACAATTCACATTTTCTTAAATCAAAGTAAATCTAATTTAATAACTTCAAATGTATATCATATGTTATGATGTCAGATTTGAAAATCTTTCACAAGTTGTCGATTGCTGTCATGCATTCAAATATCTATAGATTCGTTGGAATGTTAAAACTATTTTCTATGACATACCATTTATACTTTAGATATAGAGCTGGACCTTTTTGGATGAATGCCATTTCTTCGTTGGTCTTGCCAAGTTTCTTAAATTCTCATAGGCTTTTTAGTGTAACCCCATTTTAATCTTACTGCACTAATAATAATTATAAACGAAAATCTTCTTTTTTTTTTATACTGTTATAAAATAATCCGAACTTTGATTATTGTCAAAAAATTTTTTATAATTCTCTAAAAAGTGCAACACAAGCTATATTTTGAACCAGTGAAATACATCGGAAACAAATATAATGATCCGTATAACATATTATGATTGACAAAGTTGTAGAATACATTCACAAAATAATTCTCTGAATATAATTTAATAACTCATTAATTATCCTATCTGAAAATAATGGCTATATTAACAATAAGGTTTTCTAAAGAAAATCCTGATGCTGAATCAAGTTTTTATGTTTGAATGGTTCCTTGTTGATATTAAATTATGCATATTAATTTTTCGTAATGAGGACAAACCTAGTACATCCTGGTAGGATAGGCCCGTGGTAAAAATAGTAATGTCCTAGTATGTTATTTTAGCCTAGTATCAAATTTAAAAAGAACATTTTGAGTTCTTTTCTTTCAAACGAGCCCTTATCATGTGAAATTAATCATAATTTTAACAACTAATGGTACTTTATTGTGTTATTTTATTATTGAGTGCGTTTCTTCGTAATAATTTAATTTTGTCTTCATTTGTTTTAAAATATTTAACTAACAAAATATTATTAGTTTTCTATGAAAATTCTCAAGAAAGTGCTCTAAAATAGCATACAATTTATTGACTACAATCCCTGAACCTTTTTTTCTCATATCGGAGGTGTCACATATGACGAATTAACTAAATTTTTATCTTATCACGTGAATATTCATATCGATATTATTTACTGATTAATGCTAATTTTGTTTTATATTACAAAGTATTGAATTAAATTGTTATTTAATAAAATCCAGTGAATTAATTAAATTTTATATATCGATTCATTGGCATAAATTATTCTATTTCTTTCTCTGTAATCGTTATTATTGATTTTGTATCATCACTATTTGATCGGACTGCATTATATTAATTAATTTGAGTGATGACCCCGGACCTTGATATGAAATATGAGATTCTTATCTCAGTTGTGCATGCCAGATAAAAACTGGCATAAATTTTAGAAACAATTATGCGTATTAAAATTATCACGGTCTTTTATTTACATTTTAATTTTTGGCTATGCGGAATCTGTTTAAAAGTTTCTATTCAATTTTTATATTGCAATACGTACTCAATATAATATCACAATTAATTTGTGATTTTCACTATCAAAGACCTGTGTTGTGGCTACAAAAGGAAATAAACTATCAAAAATTAATTTTTTATAATAACAAAGCTTGATTTGAGTTACAGATTGAACTTTCATAATTTATTTTGATGAATTTACATCTGATCTGAAATCATTTTCATAAAGTTTTATTATTAGTAATTACTTCTTCTCCATTATCTGTTATATATATATTTTTTATAACTGTGTTATTTTAATAAACTATCTAAATTTTTAAAAACATTCCTTTTTTAAATTTTTCAAACATTTGGTATTTTTATTTTATAAGAAAGGACTGTTAAGAGTTTTTGTTAAATTCAGGTAAATATTTTTTCTAAAATCACAGGTTTTTGGGGGAAAAAAAATACTAGTTAATAAAAAGATGTTTAAATGTTAAAAAAAAAATTAATAATGAAAATAAGCATGGAGTCTTCATATTTTGAGAAATAATTTGAGCTGAGCTGTGACAAGAAAAAACAAATGGTAATAGATCGGTGACATTTTTGGGTAACATATCTACGATGAGGTAACTGAAAATACACATTTCAAAGGCTTCCACATGTTTAAACCAGGCCCTAAATAAAAATATATAGATACATTTAACAAACATACATGTTTAAGTCGCTTAGAGTATTTTGATTTAGATTAAGCTAGATATCGTAACTTAAAGTACTAATGATTATATTTACAAATGCAAAAAAAATAATAATGAAAAACCTGCACTACTACAACCCATGAATGGGTTTTGGATTGAGTACTTTGTTAGGAAGTACTGTTTCAAGGCCAATGGTTATGCAGGGAGGTGATCAGGCTAGAATCATGCTCAAATGCCAGGTATTCCCCCTTAATTAATTTTTAAATTAAGAGTATCCTCTTTAAAGAGGCTGGGTGTGCCCCAAGAGGGTTTCCCGACCTCTTGGTCGATCCACAGCTGATGAGAAATTGTTTAACATCAACTGGAATTGAAAGGGGGGCCCTTGAGGCTAGCAGCCCAGTGCCTAGCTCACTGAGCTACTCTGCTCCCCCAACAAATATGTATTAGTTATAAATGATTGTTCAAAGCAATAGGTATACACTTAAGCATAAATAAATATTATTTATATCGATTCTATAGTTGTGGACATGGGACATTACTATAGTATAGTGTTAATGTAGCGCAGCTGTTCTATCTATGTCAGGCGACTTAGTTACTAGTTGTGTACTATGAATCAAAGAACCTCTTTAAATATATTAATGAGTTTTTAGGTGATTCAAGAAACATGGTTACGAACATGAATATTTATTTATTTGATCTTTGTCTCTACTCTGAATGATCATTTACGTTATGCTGTTTGTTTTTCCTTATATTTTTTATATTGACCGATAATTTTCAAAAATGCATTATTTTTTCGATGTTGTTTTTGCTTTCTTCTAAGAGCACTTTGAGGTTTCCTGATAGTTCCACAGATAGAGGTTTGCGTGGTTTTGTATTTATTATAATTTATGCCTATGCGAAGATAGCATAAAATAATTTCTTCCCGTCTAGAATTTCTTTTATTCGTTTTGTATTTGCGAATTATTAGATAGATTTCAGCCAATTTTATGTTAATATATCCTCATTAAGTTTATTATTATTTTAAAAATCGGCGTGTGATATTGGTCCCACCTTCTGCAGTAACTAGTTCGATCTTATTGGCTTTAGAATCAATGTTTTCTCTTGCCTTGGTGCAGCAAGATCAGCTTTTTTCCCGGAAATAATGTAACAAATCATCATTTTATTATTTATTAGTATTTAATCTGTTCATAATTATTTCATATTTCCTACAATAGTTCTTGTGATGAAGACCTACAATGTAGGTCGAAACGTAGGGGCAGAACAAATACAATAAGACCCACTTATGTTTTTTACTCTTTTAATCGTACTTCCGACCAAGTTCTAAAATTGATATTTTTTTTTAAAACTAATTTTCAAGTTCAAATAAATGATTCTCAAGATCTATTGTTAATCTATAAGGTATCTATCTATAGCAGGCTATTTGTGTTTAGAAGGAATTGGTTTATCGTCCGTGAAAATTCGCAAGAGTGCTCAGGATTATTAGAGGTGTAAAGGGAAAATGCAGTTGAGAGCTTATCACGCTTAGAAAGAGAGCCCGTGAAAAAAATAGATGACCAGATCTGAAGAAAAAATTGAAAGTATTATTTTGAACATTCATAATAATTATATTAATAAAATGAAAGTCTGCCAGTCGGATCATGTTACATGAAAATGTGACTACTGGTTTAAAGAATATTAGACCCGTAACTTGAAGATCGAAACGGGAAATTTTGGGAAATGTTTTTATTTTTTTAACTTTTATATATATGGGTTCAAACATGTTTTTTTTTTCTGTTGGCATTACAGACAATTTTTGTTGATTCTATATATCAATTAGTTGTTTTGCCTTTCACGTAGTCTTTTGCCTTCTATTGAGGCATTCATTTTTAGGTAGTGGTTTTCAGGTGGATTGCTGCGAGCTATATGCCCCGACCATCTTAACCTCCGTGTCTTCATATCATTGGATATTGATTGACCAAGTTATGTAAGCATTTCTTCATCAGTCTTTCTTCTCCGTGTGCTATTACTCTGATCCCAGATAGCTTAAACATGTAAAAAAACAAAATTGTTAACGTGGTCCACTTTGTACAGCCTAAAAAGATTTTTTCGACCTTTTTTTCTTTGTTTTTTCACCTATAATTCCTAAACGGTCTATCGGAGCGAAAAACGCACTCCTTAAGAAATTAAAGAAAGTTAAATTGTGCGTCGAACGAGAACATAAACTTAATAATTTGATTAAGTGACAAGCTTGATAATTATAGTCAACGAACGCTTATTTTCATCAAATTTGTCAAAAACTGAGAATTGGTAAATTATCACAATTGGTCCTGCAGCTTGGAAATGAGTTATCTAAGAGAAAAAACTCTTAAAATAAAATTTGTAGAATCGAATTCCGCATCCACTGAGTACTAACAGTTTTATTGTAGGCCAATTAGATCTCCAAAATCGGGATTCGTTATTTCTTCATGAAATTCGGTTTCTTTTGACACCTCGTTTCTCAAAATTCTTCGCTGCTGAGAGGTGGAAAAGTGTCCTATACTGTATGTAGCAGACTCTATACAAGAATAACTGAGTAAAATAAACATCCATACTATTGAAGTATTTAAAATCTTAGATACCTTCATTACCAATTTCCTACTATCGAAAGAATACGGATTTCCTACATTGTGGTTCGTTCGCTTGTTGATAAAAGGTGGAAATTGGAGTATCAAGGCATCCTAT